CCTTCACCCCAATTCCCCAGCCAGTTCCATTGAAATACTGCTTCCACTCATTGCCAGAGCTAGCTGAGCAGCTTCCTGCTAACTAGTTCCTAGTTTGGATGTACCAAGTGCTCTACAGTGCCAGACAGTGAAGGTGTGGAGCCAGGTAAGCAGGAATCTGCTCATCTGAGTTCCAAACCTCAGAGCTCTTGTACAACTGTGTGAGTTCCCAAAGCAAACCACATATAAAGTTGCATTTTCTATATGTTCTGTAGAATTCTAAATTTAAAAGACACATTTCCCCCCCCCCCAAAAAAAGAGAAGAAAGCTTGGTAGGAATTGAATATGATCCTTACTCTCCAGGAATCATGGAATGTTGAGGACAATTGCAAATAAGTAAATAACAGTAGACATGGTGGTGGCAGAAAAAATGATCTGAGCCCCTGACAGCTTATGGAATCCTGACGATGCATATCTTCAGTGGAAAAATCCACTTCTTAGTGTGTCTAAATTTGGCATAGGCTTTTTTGGAATATAGTGTGTGAGAGTGGGGGGGGGCTTTCTATTAAACCTTGGCAAGAATCTCATTCTTGGAATAGTTGGCCAGCTTATTGCTAATGCCCTAAGGTAAGGTAACAAATGAAGTGGCTCTGCACCAGAGGGCAAATGGGTGGGGGCCCCCTCTGTCAACTAGCTGGTAATTAGAAGAACAGAATCCAGAGCTGAGGTTGTAAGAGCTAGAAGCTAGAAGTGGGCTGCAGGGTAGTCATGCTTGATTTCTGAAAGGAATCCAATGCTGTGGCTACGGGAGAAGCAAGATCTTCTTGGGGGTGTTAATACTGTCAATTGCTCCACCATAGGCTGAGGTTGGATATATGGTAAATAAACCCTATATCATAAAGACATCATAGTCTCTGCTGTTCCTTGTTTCAAGGAAACCAAACCCTGGGTAAGTGCCTAGGACCTCTAGAAGCTCACACCGCTCAGAGATTGGGGCTACGTGTAACACTATTTTCTGCAGTCAGGCACAGCTCCACATTCCTGTTTGCTGCCAGCAATCCCACAACCCAACATTTTGTCTCATTTGTGTTTTTTGTTCTGTGCTGGAGCATTACTTTCTATGATAAGTTACATGATGGGCTTTGAGTTGGATTGGGGGGGGCTCCTTTTCAGACTTTCAAGTAATCAAGTTGTTTTGTTTCAATTTGTGTGTGCATGTACCAAATTTCCATTTCCTAGCTAGCATTAACTATCTGTGTAAGGACATATGCAAATGCATTCTTTCAGAAATGGCTAATAATCAGGTTCTCTTGGTTACAAGTGCAATTTCAGCTTTCTGAATCATATGGAAATACTTTTATCCATTTGGGGATATTCACATCTTCCATTTCAATGGGTTTATAAATATGCTATTTTCAGATTTCTGTTGGAATCGCTGTGTTTTGTACTATATATGCATGCAAAACAACACCTTTCCAAGTTATGTGGGAAGTACTGTGACAATTTGGTACCACAGCGAGCAAGTTAGTGAGACCCAACTCTTTAATACTAAGTAATTGAGGTTTCATTCAGCAAGCATAAGAATGTGTATCTGGCAGATACTGGAAATGTCCCTAAGGCTTGCTAGGGATTGTTGGCTGCATATACACCATATTTAAAGCCCACTCTCACCCACCCCCCAAATAATCCTGGGAACCCTAATTTGTAAACAGTTCTGGGAACTGTAGCTCTGTTTAGAGTAAATGGCAATTCCCAGGATTCTTTGATGGAAGCAATGTGCTTTAAATGTATGTTGTATATGCAACCATTTTTTCTCTGGTATGAATCTGCCCTCCATTCCATCCTGGTTGCCTTCTAGTTTAACTTGGATATTTTTTTTAATTAATTGCACAACTGCGGTTGGGTGTAGTTTTCAGTTCATGTGTATGAGCCCTTCCTCATACTGATGTGCCCACAGATGTATTGATTAAACTACAAAGCAAAAAGGAATCATGATGCAATCACACAATACCATTATGATTCCTTTCTATGCTGTTATTTAGCAATGCACATCAGTAAGTGGTGAGGAAAACTATGCCAACCAATGCATACTCAACTGTCTGAACAAAGTCCAGAAATAAAGAAACAGATGAATGGATGATATCTCACTTATCATTGCTGTTCTAACAAGATCAGGTAATGCTGAAACCCCAAATCCAGGAACAAATTTGAATTGGTACAATATTGTAAGCATTCCTAATTATAGTACTGTATGTGAAAAAGCAACAGAACTCCCAGAGCCCAACATTCTATTTCCTTAGTTACAAAAAATTCCCAGTTAACAAGTGTTTCAGATAACTGTTCATTCACTGGAAGATATAAGATATAAAGCAGGGTTGTTTCAATTTCAAAGATTTTGTTTAAAGATTCTGCTATTAAAATGAATGTGTAATCATTAGGTGAATGACAGTTTCTGAGGCAATAAGATAGCTTATAAAGTAAATAATTAAATTCACTATTTTGTATTTGTTAACATCCAGGAATCCACTATCTAGTTCTCTTGATTCTCACAAACCTAGCCTTTTTGGAAGTTGTTAGAACTTAATCAAAAATGTATGCTGCTGTTAAATCAAATCAATGACCAACAAATTTATCTTTGGCTGTATTCCCTATGAGTAAAAAAATAATCTGCACCTGCCAGTTTGACAGACATATGGCAGACATATCAGTCAATGACCTAGTTTCCTTATATTCCATGTAAATGGAACTGTCATCATAATGGACAATTTGCAACATATACAATGCTATACTTTTCAAATACGAATGCTAACCCAAATATATTCTGGAGGTGCAGAAGATTTGTTTCTTTTGAAGACAGGCATTTTGTTCAGTTCACAAAAAATATATCTTAAAGAGGTATGGTGCTGCTGTTCCAGCAGCTTAAGACAATTAGAATGAACACAGCTTCACTTGTTCCAATCTTGCAACCCAAATATTTTGCTGTCCTCTTCAGTTGTTAGATCAGGACTGTTCCTACAACTCTCAGTGCTTAACATTAGGAAATGAACTGAATGCTGTAGTCCGATGTAGGATAAACCCAGCATTGAATTTTACTTGATTTTAGCATTAATTTAAGCATGAAATATCTGTGAGGAACTGTTGTAGCTAGAACTGAGAATCTATTGTTCTATGCACTAAACTATTTTCCTATTCAATAAAATATTCCTGAATACTGAATTGGCTCCACACATCCAAGCTGGCCATTGGCTTTACTCACCAGGAAGGGTTATAAAATCTTCCTGTGCTGGCTAGGATTTTGCCTGGGCAATTGTTGCTAATGTTCTTTTCATTGCCTCCAGTTCTTGGTTTGTTTGGTGGTTCTGGCATGCTCTTTGGCAACTGCCCATGGCTCACCTGTGACAACTGCCTATGGCCTTACTTTTCAGAAATCAAAAAGTTATTGCATAATAATTTTAATAATAACTGTGCTGTTTTGTATAGAAGGTATAAAGCTATGACATTTATGCATGATGTGGTCATTAACTTAATCACTAGGTACATTTTTGTAAGTGCCTTTGTTACAAATTATAAGGGGAAGATTTACAGTGAACTGAGATGTCGAACAAAACTCTAGAATAAAAAATCAACATAAAATGGTGTCTTTTCACTAGTAGATTCTTTCTTTAAAGTCTTGTAACAAAAATCACAAGCATTTAGAAACATAGGAAGCTGCCTATGAAAACTGACTGGCAATGGGTCTCCCGGATTTCAGACAGGAGTCTCTCCGGTCCATACCTGGAGAGGATGGTGATTGAACTTGGAATCTTCTGCATGCAAAGCAAGTGCTCTGCCACTGAGCTACAGCTCTTCCTCCTATGTTTTTGTCTAATAAAGCTGCTCCACCACAAGCATCACCAAAGCAAGTCCACACAAGTGTGGCAGAATTATCTAGCTCTAATGCAAGCAGCTCTCTTGCACTAGACTACTAGACAAACAGATACTCTTGCCATTCTCTCTAGGAAATTGCCTAGGGCCAGGAAGTGAAGGCTTGGCTTCAGTATAGGCTGAGTGAATCCCACCCTCTTGCTTTGGAAGATCTGCTGTCTGGAAACTTCCCAGTGCAGCACAACTTAAGTTTAATTCAAATCTTCTTTCAATCGATAGGAAAAAAATACCTTTTACCATCTCCATCACCTAAGCATCCAACCAAGGAATAATTTTGATTCCCCCATCCTCGTTCTCATTGTTGCCTAGCCTTTTATTTTAGCATTTCACAGTCCAGCCAAAATCTCTCCCTTACTGTAGGCTAAGGTGTCATAAGAGAGACTGTATACTATGCTTGTTTTATTATTATTTCTCCACCAATCAACAACAAATCCATTAAGGCTTTGAACCAAAAGTGCCTTTTTAATTAATATTGATTGGGGGAAGGATTGTCAAGTGCTCCTTAAGAAGGGTTTTAGTCATCTGCTAAAAGCTCCTGTTGCTCGGTCCCAGCATCTGCCAACCTAGCAGTTCAAAATCACGTCAAAGTGCAAGTAGATAAATAGGTACTGCTCGGGCAGGAAGGTAAACGACGTTTCCGTGCACTGCTCTGGTTTCAACAGAAGTGGCTTAATCATGCTGGCCACGTGACCTGGAAAAACTGTCTGCGGACAAACGTCGGCTTCCCTCGGCCAGTAAAGCGAGATGAGCGCCGCAACCCCAGAGTTGTTCGCGCCTGGACTTAACTGTCAGGGGTCCCTTTACCTTTACCACTGTATGTTATTATTATTATTATTAACTGAATTTGTATACTTCATCCGAAGAACACAGAGCAGTTCACAACATAAAAATACAAAATACAAAATGAAAAGACAAAATATATAATAAAAGAAAAAGAAATCATTAAACACCCCCCCTCCCACAAGCACATTAAAAAACACCATAGAATGTTAATTAGCCAAAGGCCTGGTTACAGAGAAACATTTTTGCCTGGTACCTAAATATAAGTAATACCAGCGAGCCTCCCTGGGGAGAGCATTCCACAAATGGGGATACATCACAGAAATGCCCATTCTAATAGAACCGCACTCTAGGCTTCTCATGGAGGAAGCACTCAGATGATGGTTGCAGGGTCTGGGTTGGTTCGTTTGAGGAGAGGTGGTCCTTGTACAACATAATATAGCATGAAGGCAAGATGCTTAAGAGAGCAGTGCAATACTTACCTTGCTCCTAGACCAGGGATACACTGCCACCATACTGGTAGACCAGCCACTCTATCCTAGGTGTTCTCAGCCCAGGAGAGAAGGTAAAAATATATTGTTGCATGGCACCCCAATCTCCAAGCATTGCAGGATTCCAGGGGTTCCAGGTGCTTACCTGTCATGACCTGGCAGGACAATGGGGATGAGGATGTAGCCACAACTAGTACACAGCAGGGCAAGGTGAGGATGGAAAAAGTGCTCACAGGGCAACAGAGGACGGCGAAGGGATGGGGGTCAGTGCAGAGGAACCAAAAGAGCAGGACCCATTACCAGAGGGCCCCCCATCTCTACAAACAAAGTGGGCTCTGAGGTGTAGGGAGCTGTGGGAAGTATGCTCTAGGAGGTTGAAGCAAGCAAGGGCCCACAGCCCAGCACTCTAGCTGGCCAGGTGGTGTTTGTTAGCTCTGGGAGGAGGCGTGTGATTCCTCAGCTGGAGTAGGCTCAGGACAAATGAGGATCACATGCCTCATTAAGCCCAGATGCTGCAATCAAGATTCAGGTGATAAAAGGGAAGCAGAGCTGAGGTGCTTTAAGTCACAGTTCTGCAGCTTACCCAGTCCCCCACCCTTGGCATGCTAAAAGATGATGGATTTCTAGCATGTTTAAGCTAGGATGCAAGCCTCAGTACCACAGATACATTACCCAAAGGCCTTGCTCATGCTTTCCCTTGTCCCACTGCAGCACAAAGCAGCTTTCACAAAGTTATCAGAATGATTCCTCAAATGATATAAAAGTTCCTATCAAACACAAGCATGTAAAAAGCACAAATTGACAGCATTTCAAAACACACACACAGACATAATGCCAAACCTTGCAGGAAGGATCCCTGCAGCAAATAAGCAAACAGTCCCAAAAAGCACAAGCCCCCACCCCTTGCAGTTGCTTGCATGGTTCTTTGCCTTGGAGTTTCAGAAAGTTCTCATTTCAAGTAGATTGACAGCTGCTTTGGGGCTCAAATCACAGGTGGAACTCTTCAATTTGTCTTTGGTCTTCCCTTTGGTTGTAGATCAGAGGCTCCAAACTCAAAATCCAGTCCCAGTCTCTGTGGTTGCATACTGGGCCTCAAGACACAACTGCATGATCAGATTTCCCACTGACACACTGGGGGTCCCCTCCATCTATTTTCATCTTGCTGCCTCTGGGTAAGTCCACTTCATCCCCTGTGCCAAACTGCAAATCATAGTTCTGCCACAAGTCCTTATCTGGAAGCACCACCTTCAGGATCAGCTGGCCCAGTTCAGTCAAGTTGGCGGCCAGGAATTCCCCTCACTGCTTACTCCCAACATCTCTCAAACACTTCATGGGCCCAAAGGCAGGCAACCCTTCAAGTGGCTCTTGCCCCCAAAACTCATTGGAACCTGGGTGACCCTCACTGCTGGGGCCTATGTAAGGACTGCACCCATTATAAGGACTGGTTCCCCATCCTGCAAGGCTATCTTGGGGCACCCAAGGGACAATGTCATTGGACGGTTTTATCTCGTCCAATTCAGTAGGCACCAGCTGCTACTCTGGTGCATGCGCACACGTCTCCAACTTTCCCACACATTTTTCTCTACTGCCAACCCTCAGGCACTTGCTGATCCTTCTGCATTGTTCACACACCTCCCAATTCCTCCTGTTGCACTTCTTCTGGCATCTCTTCAGGCACTGTTTCTTCTTGCTCATGCATGCACACCTCTAGCATCACCGCTGGCACACATGGAATGAAGAGATCCATAAGCAGCATCTCTTCACCTCCATCTTGCAGTTCACTCTCCTCTGGAGCACTTTCCTCCTTCACTGGCCTTTCCTCCTGCACCCATTCTTCTACAGCAGGCTCCCAGGGAGTGGAGAACTCATCAGCCAGGGCTCTCACCTCCAAGGAGGCGTCTCACCCACTCTGCTTGCAGCTGGTCTATTTTATCAAGCCACTGGCTCTGCTGCTGACTTTGTCACTTCTTCATTTGGTCAAGCTGCTTGCTCCACTGTTGCTCCATTCTCTCAAGCTGTTCAAGGAGTGTTGCTATTCCTCCCTCCATCATGACTTGGGCACACCTTGCTCACAGGTCTCCCCTGAGGAAACATGAATCCTACTGACACCAGTATCACACACCACCACAATCTTTGAGCAGTGTGAGATTCCAGGGGTTCCAGGCGCTTACCCAGCATTCAGTTTCCTTCATGATGTTGGACAAGAGAGACAGTGGTATCTTTATGATAGATGGTTTATTTACACATATACACAACCTGAGCTTATGATGGAGGGGTTCACAGCATTAATACCCCAAGAGGGTCTTGCTTCTTCCATAGCCACAGCTTTCAATTCCTGCAGAAATCAGGCATGGCTCTGACTGCCTTCCGAACCTGCTGCCTTGCTTCCAGTTTCTTGCTTACACACAGAACTCTCGACTTTGTCTTTGTAACTATCAGGGAGTTGAGGGAAGAAGGCCCACCCATTTGTTTTTTGGCACTGAGCCACTTCCCTTGTTACTTTAATGCCCCATATTCAGAGGCCCATTACCTCACCAGGAAGGTAGCCTGGCTATTCCAGGAATTGAATCTGTGCTGGATCCAGGAATTAGATTTGACCATCTCTAGTTGTGAAGCAGGAGATAGGAGTTCAAATCCCTCCAGGAAGAATATGGCTCCATTTACCTTTGGAATGCCTGGCAATAAAATAAAAACAAATAAGTATCACACCCCCACAGTCTCATTCTGAGGCCAGATCCTAGTTGGGTGTGTGCATGGAATCCTTACCTACTACTCCCTAACAGCATAGAAACTACACGTGTCCTTTATAGCCACATAGCATTTACTGAACAGCATCTGAGATGGTGATCTAGAAAGGGAAAAGTACATGGGTGGGGTTGCCAACCAGTTACTGCAGCAAGACTCCTTCTCTTTGGAAAGTAGCTCAAAATACATCAAAGTAGTGTGTACAGAGTCCTTTTTGGCACCAGCACCATGGGTTCACCTCCTGTGATGGTACAGGAGCCTAGCATGTTAACAATCCCACAGATGAATAGCCATAAACATCCTTGTCACAGCAGCTGGTCATGGGGTGCACTTCCCTCCTGGCCAGAATGAAGTGGGGTATGAGATGGATTCTGTACCAGTAAGTGACCTGTAGAGAGCAAGGGGAGACACAAAAAGAAAGCAACAAGCAAAAGTCAGTGGTTATAGCAAAAAGTCCCTGAAACTGAATATACCATAGGTGTTTGTGAGGCAGTGAGAGAAGCAAGGAAGTGGCAATAACAGTGCATGTGGTGGGGCTTCAGAAGAGCCATCTTACTGACACTGGCATCACTGATGCTTACCTGGACAAGGCTGGGATGGTGCAGTGGTTCTGCTGGTGCAACCACACAGCCCCAACCTTGCTGTGACCCTGGCCAGGTAGCAATGCCAGTGTGTGGACATGGTGCTACCTCAGTACTCTGACAGTGCTAATTTCTCAGCCTCTCACCCACTGACGGAGACTGCTGTGACTGTGTGCATACATCTCCCTTTGAGGTTACAGGGAAACACCAGGGCTGTTTCACAGGAACTCAGTTCCGGCACCTCTTAGGTGGGTGCCATTGCTATAGCACTGGGAAACACTGGCGGCTGTTTGTTTCTCTCCATGCCTTTGGGATGTGACTCTGCAAAGTAAAAGTGCTTGTGTTTGGCCAGCAACTGCAATGATTGGAGTGCCAGACCACTGCCAAAGCAGAACTTAACTGAGTGTTTCCCTGTATGTGGGAAACACCGTTCGCTGCTGTTGTGGGGGGAGAAGCAGAGAGAGCATGGCAGTTCAGACAAGATCCCATATTCATGTGTAGCAAAGGTGGCGGGTGGGAGAAAGAAGACAGTTGCAACAGTTATACATTACAGCGTGTTTCCGCTTCTGTTACTTACCTGTGTAGAGTGCTTTCTCCATGCATCTCCAGTGGTTGGGATGCAGTTTGGCGATCAGTGTCTGGAGCCCTGAGATGAGGAACCTGTAAGGTTCTAGGCAGAAGAGTGTTATCAACGGGCTCACATTCCTATAACTGTTCTGGAGATGGGTTGTTTTGTGCCCCCTTTGTGTGCAAAGTACATTTCCTCCATAGTTTCCTACTTCCAGAGTTCGCCCCCCCCCCCAGCTTGTGAGCTCTAAGGTACACAGTATGAGGTCAGAGATATACACCCCTTTGCCACTTACTCAATAATCTAATGAACAAAGAGGCCTTGCATCTGTAAATCCAAGCCTGCCTCTGCAGATTAGGATTAGTATCATTCTGTAAACCAATAAACAGTTGGCAAGGATGAGAAGACACTGATTCCACTGACTGGATTTCCTTTTGCCTTTAAAGTATTGTTTCAAGAACAAAGAAGGTATTTAAGTATTTTTAAAAGCTGTAATTTGTTAACTTTCAGAATCAATTTGTTCTGAATGTTTCCCCCCCTGAACGTTCAAGTCTTCTGATGTTTAAGACATAATGTGCTTTAATGTACTCCTTTGTTTTTTCTTAATTCAGGTATAAAAATAAACACTAAAAAGTACAATAGAAAAAATATTACTCAACCAATATTTTATTGTGAAGTAAAGAATTGAATAAAGTACCTGAGTAAGACTAGGAAAGCCAAGATTCCTGCATCCATTACAAGGTGTCAGTGCTTCCCACAAACCTGTAGGCCCACAACTGTTTTCACCTCCATCTTCTTCATCCTCTTCTGTTGGTAACATGTTTGTTGAGGATTTCTGAAGATGAAAGAGTAGCATTTCAAAAATTAAGTGTATTGTATATTTTATGAAATAAATAAATAAGTCTACTGAAATAGACCACAGCTGAATTTGTATATACTGTGCCAACATGAATGAGTCTTCAAATGGAACTACAGGAAGTTATACCTTAAATAACTGTGACATAAACATTATATGGAATTCATTCTGATGATTCAGATTTTAAAATATTGTAACCTGTTCCACAGAGTGAAGTATGGAATTGTTTTCACTTTCGGTCTACTTAAATTTCAAATGGCATGTTGAAAAGTGCATTCAACCGTTCTTACTCAGTCTTCAAATGTGACTAACATAGAATTGATCAACAATTGTAATCGACTTAAAGCCACTTAGTTCTGTGCTTGATGGTTAGCAAAGTGTTTGTTAATAAACTATCAATAAATTATTGTTAATTTTATTAGTAAACTATGCAACAGTGTCCTTCCTTATCTTTAGAAAGCTTGAAACAATGGCTGAGATGAAACTTTATTTTTTTTACTTTGCGTCTACATTTTGATGCCACTTGTGTGACATAACTTCATAACTAAATTAGCATTGTATAAATTGAGCAAAAATTTGCTACCCATTCTGGAATTTATAAATATTCTCCAACACATTTCAAGGAGCTCAACATTAATAGCAAGATTACGATTACCATTTTCTAGCTTGCAGGGGTAATAAGAAATAACTCAGAAAAAGAAGTCAAGTCATTGCTAATGATAAATCCTCTCAGCACATTCCTAAGGAAAAAAACAGTGTTAAGTTGTTCTCCCTTCCCGCATTCTTAGATGCTCCCCATAAAGGTTTGCTGGTCATCTTTCCTCCAAACCATTCCAAACGAAAGTAATTCCTGCTGTGGCCGCAAGAAGGATACTAGTACTTTTCAGCTTTATTGATAAGCAGAGAGAGATGTAATAGCAGTAACTTGGGGTTTTAAGGATATAAAAGGAGTTGGGTGGATTGCCACAGAAAGGGCTTAGCAGGAAGTGAGAAGGTGGCAGTTGGGGAAGCTTTTAGGTCAAATGTGTAATTGCATCAGTTGATATAGTATGTCCTTCTTAGATATAGCCAGGAGTCTCACGGTCCCTAGAATTCCCTGCTCCCCCTGCAAGGCTGCTGTGGATCCAGGCAACCAGGGTGGAGTGTGAGAGTTTGTCAGCAATAAGGTAAGTGGAAAAAAGGAGGCTCTTGCAAGCAGAGGAAGAAGGAAAAGACATTTGAGAGCACCAAGGAGAGTTTCTTCCTTCACTTCTCCTTTTTCCTTTTTTTCTTTAGTTTTATTTCACCAAAAGGCAGATAAAAGAAGAGGAAGTCATGTGTATAATTTCCAAACCACTCAAATTGCTTACAGCAAAATTTTCAGATGCAGCAAGCATATTCTACTTCCTATGAAGGGTAAGCCCTGGGATAAATGTGGAAAAGGACTTTTCCAAAAAGCTCTGATACTCAGGTGGTCTCCCACCATCTTTACCTTCATCTATATACATATTGCAAAACCAGATGTCAACAAAATTGTCAGTCTGCACCACTCCCCACAGAACTCAATGTTGTTGCATCAACTTTTCTGATACTTTAACTAATGAGTCCCTCTTGGTAAACAAGAACTGAGACTTCCATTGATGGGCAATTTCCAAATCCTAGTGAAATGCCACTAGATTACCACGCATATCTGGGGAAACAGTCAAAAAAATGGCAAGAGCAAGCACAGGCACCATTGGTTGTTGTATAATTCCAGGTATTTCAGCAAAGATCTCTGACCAGAATATGCTAAGCCAGGGACAGCTCAACCACTACTATGGAGAGATTTGTTTGTTTGTTTATGTGTGCTTATGTTTAATTTAGTTAGCGTTCAATACTGTTCCCATGACATTTTGAGTTTAGTTTCACAAAGTCTAGCCAACACGGTTCTGATGGGTTGCCTGGACCACATCACCTCCCATTTTGTTTCTTTTACTCATCTGCCCAGATCTACTTCCTAGGCTGCCCTCTGAGCACTCATCTCCCTGCAATTCCTAATTAATAATTATTTATGGAAGACAGTGACACCATCTCCTTCATGGTGATATCGAGATGTACAAATGCATGCTGGAAAAAAACCATCAGGGGTCTAAGACAATTTTATGTTTAGGGCAATCATTTTTATGAGAGTCAGAACTTGTTCTAGCTGACTCTCTGTAGCCAGGAAAGTGGCAAGAATGGTATGACACAACAAACTAGGATAAATCAGGATACAGAGCTCAAATACAACAACAAAGTTAACAGAAATTGAGAGTCACAACCAACTTTAGACCATGGTTTTGTTGTCCCCAAACAAGTTAAGCTAAACAAACCAAGGTATAACATTACTTTTGAACCAGGCCAATGAGTTTCACGCTCTCAGTTTGGCTGGGATCAACTGCCATTTTGGGTTCTCCTTTCCAAAATGGTCTCTTCATTAGGTAACAGTTTGAATCTGAATTTGCTATACACAATTATTTTAAACTGTTAAGCCCTCTTTAGTGTTTTGGCAGAAATAGAAATGGATAATGAATGAATAAATGAATGAATGAAAAGATTACTATCCTACCTTTCCTCCTAGGAACTTGAGGTGACTAAATAAATACGATACCATATGACTGACCAAGATTAAATGTACAATTTATCTTTCTCATTTAAATACACTGGGTATATTTTACTGTATTTTTGCATTTTAAAAATACTTGCTTATCTGCTATGTATTTGTAAATTAAATTTCAATGCATTTCTTAATGTGCTACTTGATCAAATTATTTTGACAGTGAAATGGTACTACATTATGTGTTGCAATAGAAACAAGCACTCTTGCACAAATGATTAGAATGGCAGGGTGAACTTTGCCGGATCTGGAGTTTGAAGGATTTAGTACATTGTTCATACAAACAAGCACATTAAGATTATATGTCCCTGATAGTTAGAGATGTGTGTCAGATTCACCATCTATCTACACTTTTATAATTAGATCCAATCTTTCTTCTTTTAAAAAAGTTAATCTTAGAGGATATTTTAAAGACTATGCCAAAGGAATGCAAAACACTCATTTAATAAAAGCAGTGGCATTATTATTGGGGGAATTATGTATGAAATTGGTAAAGGTTATCTTTCTCTCAGGGATGCGGGTGGCGCTGTGGGTTAAACCACAGATCCTAGGACTTGCCGATCAGAAGGTCAGCGGTTCGAATCCCCGTGACAGGGTGAGCTCCCGTTGCTTGGTCCCTGCTCCTGCCAACCTAGCAGTTCGAAAGCATGTCAAAGTGCAAGTAGATAAATAGGTACCGCTCTGGCGGGAAGGTAAACAGCATTTCCGTGTGCTGCTCTGGTTCGCCAGAAGTGGCTTAGTCATGTTGGCCACATGACCCGGAAGCTGTACGCCGGCTCCCTCGGCCAATAAAGCAAGATGAGCGCCACAACCCCAGAGTCGGCCACGACTGGACCTAACGGTCAGGGGTCCCTTTACCTTTACCTATCTTTCTCTCGTATCAGTATGATCACATCAAAAAAAGTGGCCATTTGACATTTTTTAAAAATCCCACTTCTATCCAACTATTCTGCGAATTTCCTCTCTCTGAAAGTTGGTGTGGCTGGGGGAGGAGAACTTCTAGCTTGGCCTTATTTAAAATAGAAGTCTGATGCACACTTACCTGGAAATAAGTTTTTTAAATCTTACTTTTAAATATACATGTATAGAATTACACTGTAAAGCAGTAAGGGTTGTTCTGATCTTTAATGTATTTGTTCACAATCTAAAAAATAATAATAATGGGAGGCATGGCTAGCTGCAAAGCTAAATGGCAACATAACACAGCATAATCACAACAGGACTAAAATCATACTGAGGGACAACCATAGGTTTTGAAATAGCAAAAACCTTACTGGCAATAATTTGATGATTTTATGGCTTCTAAAAGCAAGTCTGCACATCTTGACATACAAGAGCAAATTGAAGACTCATTATCTGGGGACTCAGGTGAGGCCTCATATACCAATATGTCTAAAAGCAACACTCATCCTCCAAAAGGTGCAAAAGCAGCAGCAGTCATGGAGGCTGATAGAGACTCGGGTGCCTATATTGATAGACTTTGCCAGGCCCTCATGGGTGATGGTACCATCTTCTTGGCACCATTTGAAAACCTTTCTAATCAACTAAAATACATATCTCAAACTGCAAACAGAGCACTAAGTCTTGCCACTACTACCACAGAGGATCTTGCCCTGAAGCCTGAGGAACAATTGGACAGAAATGGACACACACACACACACACAAAAATCAATTAGAGGCCTAAGAAGTATCAGGAAGCTGGGAACATGACCCAAATTCTGGTGGACTACCTTGAACATAAATACTTCATACCACTAAGGCCACCTGGGCCTCAAGTGACAGGAAAGGATCCAAAAGTACCCCCAAGATGTGTATCCAGTCCTTAGTGCAACCCCATCAAGAGCAGGCAACTTCCCAGCTAACCAGTCCACTCAGCAGCTTCATGTAGATGTTAAACAATATAGGGGATAAAATCAGACCCTGAGGAACCCCACGCTGAAGCCTCCAGGGGGCTGAATAACACCCCCCAAGCAACCCTCTCTGGAAATGTCCATCAAAGTAGGACTAGAACCACCACAAAACGGTGTCACCCACTCCTATCTCCAGCAGCCGCTCCAGAAGTAAACCACGGTCGATGGTATTGAAAGTCGCTGAGAGGTCAAGGAGAATTAACAGAGACACTTTTCCCGTCTCTCTCCCAACAGGTCATCACACAGGGCAACCAAAGTGGTTTCTGTGCCAAAACCGGGCCTAAATCCTGATTAAAATGGAGCTAGAAAATCAGTTTCCTGGAGGAGCGCCTGGAGCTGCCTAGTCCATAGCCCAACCCAGTATCACATCCTCTGGCTAAGCAAGGACAAGATGTCCATTCATCATCCTGCCCAAGTGCCACTGCACTGTTTCTCCTGGTTATTTCATCACACCT